TATTAGTATAGCTACAAACATACTAAATAAAACAAAACTAGACAGAAAATGAAAATATGTCGATAATAAAAATGGAATAACCGTCACGGTCAAACGTGATGGCCGACCGTTAAATATAATAATTACACAAAATAAATAGGCAATCAGAAAAATTAAGTGATCACTAGAATAAAATACAGGGCCTCTACAACCAGATTATATCAATACAAAAATACTTCAAACAAGTAACTATAAAGCGTATGGATTCCAACATAAAATAAGCTTGTTAAAAATTGTTCTCTACTTCGTTACGTACTGCTATTATTAAAAGTATAAGGATTTGTGAATCTAATTTATTAGTAAATATATATATTTACTGCAGATAATATTTTTATTAGATAAATTATAATTCACAAGTATTTTTCAATTGTATATGTTTCATTTAGAGCGATTTACTTGGATTCACGTTACATATGTTAATAACTAGCTAAAAATAAAAAAAAAAAACTGTTATTTGCTTATTAAAAATACGAGATTTAAATGAGTCACTTATTCATAAAGAAATATGTAATATAGAGTTTTTAAATTTATGAATTAATAAACCTAATTATTATACAGAAATACGTCTTAATTGGTTATCAGGTCGATTTACCTTTTAAATATTTTTACAATTTTTAGCTTCGATGCAAAGCGGAGAAGATATTAATTTTACTATATTTTTTTTTTAAATAATTTGCATACACACCTTTCATCAGACAACTTTTTTTTTTAATCGGACAATTCCCTCTTATGCAGAAGAGTCAAAACTTAAAACAGGCGTATAGAAGCTAGTACTTTTTCAACTTACTTTTTGAAAATATTCCGGATATACTGACACTATTATAAATATCTTAATTAAATCTTATGAAATATACTTTATTTTGAACAAAAATAATTGACCTCTGGACATGTGTTTACGGTAAAAATGGCTAACGTAATCAATAATGTGCTATTTTTGTATTATAACTCTCGGTTTCGTATATTATTTTATTTTAAAATACCTCACAAATGTTTTTGAGAAAGAAAAAAAAGTTTAACTCATTTAATTTTTATCACATTTAAATTCAATAAATTTAATGAATATCAAGGATTCCATAAAAGTAGTCTCCCTTCTTTTAAAGAAATTTCTTATTCATATTAAAAATTGTTTTTTTTTATTGTTGTTGTCACTATCATTTATTTTCTCAATTGACAAAATTTTTTTAACGATACATAAATGACACTGATTAATTATTATTCATAGATATTGTACTTACGTAGTTCAGTAGTTAAGCCTTTATTAGTTACGTGTTATTATTTTATATATATTTTAATTTAAAGTGTAATGTGTTATGTGTAAAACACATAACATTACCAAAAATGTAATTAAAAATTCTAAAAAATAAAAGCTAATGTGGTATATTCATATTTCATAATTTTTGCAGTCTAAATAAATAAATCTAGTCAAAATAATCAACTTGATCAAAATTTTTTTAGTAGTAACTTTTTTTATAATGATTTTGGATTAACACTAAATTATACTTAAAACTTAACTACTTATCTAAACAGTGATTAAAATCACTATCATAAGAAACGCTTCAATGTGAATCTGTAGATATGTTCAATTTTAAGAAATTAGTGGATTACTCCAAAAGCAGCATCAAATCCTATTTCCTAAATTATATCTTGATTAGACGTTATTTGATTTAAAAGTATAATATATAAATAAATACTTAGTAATTTATAGCTTTAATTATAGTAATTATTCTTAGTATGAAATTGATATCCAATAATTTAACATTGTAAATTTTATGGAGAAATTATAAAGTTGTTGTTAGTTTTATGACAAACGTGTATAAAAACTGAAGAGCTTGATACAAAACTTTTCAGAAGATAATTTATTGTTAATAATAAATAAATGGTGCACAAAAAAATTTTATCAAAGTCAAAAATATACTTTTCTTGGTCAATTTTTTGCAGTGATTTAAAATCTTATGTGAACTATAATTATACTTTATAGTATATCTTATTATATAATAAAACATTGAACATTTTTTTTTCTTCGTACTCCACGCTGTCGCCCGAATTTCTTGAGTCACTTTTCTCTGTGAAAATGATTTTTTTTTCCATTTCGCTCATATACCACTGAATCTAAATGCTATAAAGAAGATGGAAAAATCCAAATTCGGATAAAAATTCTATCCGCTGTGAGCGTTTACATTTTTTGAGATTGCCTATTATCTTATTTAATAAAACAATAAAAATCCCTTTTATCAAATAAAAAGTTGCTTAACCAGTTTTTATACAGACAATTAATATACTTTTAGAGCATTTATTGTCAAATTAGGTTTTGATGAGATAATAGGTTTTAACTATAAAAGTAAATCATTTTTCTTAGTAATTTATTTATCTTTTAATTCTATTAGTGAATGTTACTACCAGTCTATAATATTCCAATTTTTTTGGTAGCATGTTGCTATATAAATCATAAATATAAAAAAAAAATTAATTTTTAGTTTCACCTGATTTTAACAATGTATTTTTATAGTGTGAAAAGTATATTTATTAATTATTCATACGTAACATAATAATCTAACATAAATATTTGTTATATTAATTAGAAGGATTTTGTTCTTATTTAGGCCATATGCGAATCTCTAAATGCAGATTTGAAATCGTCGCAAAAATGGGTTTAGAAATGTTCGGATGAAAATTCCTTGTAGACCAGTAAAATTATTTATAAATATAATTTTTTTTTTATTGCATCAAGACCTTCAACGTTTATATATGTTTGTCATAAAAGTAATAACTATTTTTTTATTTTTTATAATTTTTCTGTAAAAATTACAATACTAAATTATTAAAAATATCAATTTCATTCTATAATTTATTCTCTAAATTTGTTATAATAAATATTTTTACATAGTATATTACACTTATAAATCATAAAACTTGTAATCAGAATATAAATAAGGAGATCATGTTGCTTTTGAAATAATCCATAAATTTTTTTAAATTAAACACTTTCTACAGATTTGTATTGAAGCGTTTTTTATGATAGTGATTTTAATCACTGTAAGATACTATCTATACTGGACGCAACTATGCCACGTTCCCACTATGTCGATACCCCACTGAACTGAGTTTTTTTTTTTTTTGGTTTGGCATTACTTAAATTATTAAGTAAAAGCCAATACAATATTTGGGATTTTAAATAATTTATGTATTAAAGAACATATATTTAGTATAATTTTATTCAGTGAGTTAAAATAGACTACAACATAATTATTAAAACTGTGCAAAAAAAAAAAATAGTTTAGATACATTGCAATTAATTGCAAAATAACAAAATAGTTTTCTTTTTTATATCTCCAATGGTCCAATTGTAATTATTGAATAACTGTCAAGTTAAAAGTATTCTTAAGTATCAAGATTTTTAGTTTTTAGTAGACCATTATTACAATTTTTACATTGGATATTTCTTAATGAGAAAAAAATATTTTTTTAACATCTTGAAATAATCATTAAAATTATTAAAATAATGATGAATACTTATAGCCGTATTTAAACTAATTCTTATAATGAGGAGATATTAATAATTCAGTATTTTAATATTGAAAATAATTTTAATATTTAATTAAAAAGTTTGTAATTTATTATTCTATTTTTAAACAAACTACACCTCATAATAAAAAGAATATATTCACAATACCTGATATTATTCTAAATATTTTAAGCAAGTTAAACATTTCAATTTAAACAACATATATTGATACTATTTAAAAGAGGATAAACAAATTATATAAATAGAATGCTGAGTTTACATCTCAAAAGAAAAAACTATGTGTTATATACTTATAAAAATATTGCGTGAGGGGCATATCAATCAAATCATAGTAGTAATCACTGTATACTTATTATTAATTATTTCTAGAAATAAGTGATATTTATTATGACTATTTTTCTCTTTATAATCTTTTTTTTCTTTTGACATTCTCTGTAGTAAAAAATGTTGATTTTTCGAAAAATTCTGTTATTTCTTGTTTTATTTATGCCTATGACAAAAAATGATTTATTTTTGATTTTTTTAAACTGTTATTTTGTATTTTTAAGTTCCAATATTATCCATAGTATATTTTATTGGTGTTGAATTTATTTAATAATTTTAATAGAAGAGAATTTAAAATAAAATATAAAGTCGCAGCAGGCTCATATTTTTTATAAAAGACATTGAATTTGCTAAGGTCATTAGTATTACCTATTTGAGAGAAAACGGAAATATTGTATTAATTAATTTGTTTTATATAAATATTCATGACGCCTGTCTGACCACCGACCAACACATCACGTGTCGTCGAGTAGTCACATTCAGGCAGTATATCTGAAACACTATTTTGAAAGTTGTAGGGGTGTCTTTCGTCGATCAACCGCTCGTTGTGAATTATAACGCGGGTCAAAAATGTTGACCCAAATATACATTTTTTTTTAATTACTACAATAATTTATAATATTTTTAGCCATATCATCGTTTATATTTTTCAAATTGTTTGGATATAGTAGCATTCTCATCTAACATGATTTTTATATGGTTTTGGTTTTTATGAACCAATAATTAAAAAAAAAAAATTAACTTTTGGTTTGAATTAAGTGGGCTTTGATATAAATTTTAAAACTATTTAAGGATAATATATGTCGATAGCTTTTTTTTGTCCACTTTGCTAGATCGTTAGATCAGTTTTTGAAGTATACTGAGAAAAAATTAATTTTATAATTAAAATNATACTGAGAAAAAACTAATTTTATAATTAAAATTGAGTACTAATCACAAATTAAAATTATTCTTTTTATTGTTAAAAATGTCTTTAATATTAAAAATTTGTATTTCCACAATGCATAAAAAATTAAAAATTAAACTTTGTATTATAACACTTTAAAAATGTTAAAAACACATAAAAAATAAAATAAAACTTATAAGAACTTTTAATTTTATTTAATAAAAAAGTTACATGAAAGCATTTTTTGAGAAGTTGCATTTTCACAATCAATTTTTGAATTGATAAGCTATCACCTTGAACACGATCAAGAGTTCCTGAACATCGACATATAAAAATTTCTTATGTTTCATGAATTTTTAAGATGAACTTATTTATTTTTAAATTAATTAAATTGCTTTATGTAAATTAATTACTTACATCCATGAAGTTTTCTGTTTTTTTACAAGATAAACACATTTGGTTCATATATTTATTTATACAAAGATCATAAAATGAGCATTTACATATCCTCGCCATTCATTCAGCATTATTTTGACAGTTGCTTACACTACATTTCAGTATTCCTATGATAGAATCTATAAAAATTAATATATATTTCTGGTTGATAAATCACTAAAATTTCATTTTTTTATAAGATATTTTGGAAAATTAAAGAAAAATTTAAAAAATATAGATATTTTTCGTAAAATTATATTTTCAAAATATCGCCCCCCAATAATTATGCAAAAATGTACAGGTAGTATTTTATTTTTTTTAACTTCGATATATAGCTGAGAAGCTATTGGTTATACTCTGCCGTGTTTTTTTATTCGTGTACAAGATAATTCTACTCTTACTTTTGTAAAATAACGCGAATAAGACCTCAGTAGATATAGTTTATACACTTTAAGACAATGTGAAATGTGATATATGAAATGTAAATGGAACATTAGGGTGGCGGCATATTAACCCAACGAAACCCAACTATGACCATGAGACGTGTATGCCTTTAATCATAGCGGGTTTCCCTTCTTTCACTAACGTATATATTAAAACTGTAGATCAACGACTTACCCCTACATAGGAGGGAAGGCAATGAGTAATCATACTTATCACAACAGTGGCGTGCGGTCAAGGCAAGCTAGGTAAGCGGCGCATGCCCGGCCAAAAAGGAAGAATTAAAAAGATTAACATTTATAATGTTAAATGACAATTTGACTTATACATTAAAATTACAATTATTCATTAATTCTTATTTGAGTATTGAATTTAAAAAAATTTATTAGGTTTCTTTGAAAGAAATTAAATGAATTTTTTTCGTATAGGCAATTTCTTTACAGAAGCGCTCGTATTTTGGATTGCCTGGCCCGTATCGTTATTTATAGGAATGACCATTTGCGGTAGAAGAAGATATACATGTTTTTACGTAGCGGTTGAAAGCGCTAACCGATAATTTTAAAAACGGAATTCCAATATTTATACGATACGAATCGGATTATTTTCGTTATTAACATAGTTTTATTATTATTATTATTTTATTATTAAGAACTTCTGCATAAAGAAAAAAATAATACGGAAATTTATGATAAAGTTATAAATGAATTTTTGAAACAAGAAAGACGAATGGATTTTATCTATAAATAACTTTTAGAGTGTAATTTTTATTAATAAAATACTTTTTTTTTGTTTTAACTTGAAATTTTATTTTAGCACTTACCCAGCATAAAATATCATCGCACGCCACTGCATCATAGGATGATTATTATAATGATGTTAAAGTAAATAAATAAATATGAACAATATTTTAATATTTCATAAGAATTTAGTTATTTTGTAATTAAAGAGAAAATATTTGTATGTTAGAAGTAACCATAATATTTTATCAAATTCTTATTGATTATTCAGTTACTGCGTTTGTTAATAGACATATTTTGTTAATGTGTAAACGTTATTGTATAAAAAATGTACACACATACTCTATTACATATATTTGTATACAAATATTTAGAAATCGTGAGTTTAAAATTAATTATTATTGCATTAAAGTGAAATTACTTAAGTGTTGAAAGAAAGGGTTAGTATACGGGGATATTTGCTGTGATTTGCTGACCCTCCAATAAAAATGTTTGATTTTTCTACATAAATGAGCGTGAAATCGCTGATAGAGTCACAGTGTCATCAAGAACCATTAGCTCTAAGAAGAAGAATCTACTACATGAACAATATGGCAGCCGAACCTGTAAGAAAACAGCGCTAAATTTATATCGCACCAACACTGCCAGCCGAGATGATCGACTCTAGAAATTACACTATTGCGTTCAGCGTCAGAACATTTTTGCAAGTGAGCCTGAATCCAAAGGAATACTTCAATATTACGCTATGCATCATTACTCCCTCACAACATATTAGTATGTCAGCAGACTTTTTAAATATTATTTATGACATGATGGATGAAATAACATGATTTCTACAATCATCTCCGGTAAAGGAAGAGAAANATCTTATAAAATGCTTGGTTTCTTAAACAGAAACACTAATGAGTTCAGTAACCTGCAGTGCCTGAAAACACTTTTTTCTTCATTGGTCAGATCTAACTTAGAATTCGGATCAGTTGTTTGGTCGCAAAATCTTTCTACCTATTATGCCGAACTAGAAAATGTTCAAAATAAGTTTCTTAAAAATATTTCATACAAATTAAATCTTCCCTACTCGAAAAATTCAGTTATTCCACTACAGGAAACATTTGGCCTTGATAGTCTGTCCCTCAGACGAACTCTAGCGGACATAATGTTTATTTTTGATATTCTCAATGGTCATATTCTTTGTCCTGAATTACTAGAAATTATTGGTTTTCGAATCCCTGTTTTAAATACACGTAACCTAGATTTATTCGTTATTCCTCATTTTAAGACAAATAGTGGAGCTTTTTCTTTTTTCCCTAGAGCACTTAGAGTAGCCAATAAAATATCACACTCACTTGATTTTTTTAATTTATCACGCCAACTTTTTAAATCAAAAACTTTATTGTACCTAAGAGAATCAACTCTGCTGTAGCATTATTATTCTTAATTGTTTATCATTATTTTTAATTGTTTATCTTTAGTTTCTATTATATTTTAAAGACTATGTAAATATTTTTATTTGTATTCTATCATGCGACTTCTTATATTTTTGTCTGTTGTGTATCATTATATATTTTGTAAAGGGCTTTACGCCCGTTGAGTTTAGCAATAAGTTTGGCAATAAGTTTAGCAATAACATTGTGTTATATCAAAATGTCGATTTTAATATATCCACAGTATTGTACCGTGACCCCATGCATTTAGTATTAAAATCCAGGATGGTCGATGGGTGTCGAGTGTTATTGAATAACGAAAACATTAATAGACTAATGGACTTACAGTGCACTTTAAACAGTGCAATATCAAGATAAATAAAATTACTGTCATTCTATAAAATAGACCACATCATACAATACGCCGACGTTAAATGGTCAGCTCTTAAAATTAAACAATCAAACAATGAAGAAATGGTTAATTTTATAAGATGTTTGAACGACAAAGATATATGCGATACTATTCCTAAAGGTGTCAGTAATTGCATAAGCGAACTGAAGAATTTAGCATACAATGAAATAGTCGATCGTTGGGTCAAATCATGGTCTGAGGATATCCTTCAAATTAATGTGAGTTTAATTAACAATGATTGTCATAACCTTTATTGTTATTAAATTTATAATTATGTTTTAGGAAAAAGAAATAGAAATGTGCAACGAAAATGACGGTTCGGCAGTTTTCAATACAACAGTGTTTACCCAAGAAAATAGTTTTAGTCAATGGGTGTCACAATGGCCGAAACCCAACGACGTCAGAAAAATAACCTACATTAATAATTTATGAACATTAACTTTAAATATTGTAATTGTATTATAAATACATTGTTTAAAATTACTAGAGTATATGCAGTTGTATTAGCGGGGAACGTGACTGCTATTTCAATTTCAATAAGTAAGTCAAAAAACGAGACTGTTATCGTATCGTTCTGCTTTGACATGTCATCACGGCAATAGGTATTAAATTAAAAAATTGTTTTTTATTTATTAAAGGCGAACGCCATAGTCTATCATAATAACTTTTTTGAAAATTAACATAGTAGGAAAATAAAATACTAAAGTTTACACTCAAAGTTACATCTTAAATCGTTGTACGGACTTCTGAATTTGAATAAACTAAATTTTAGATTTTTTAAATTGCAGTGATCGAATTCAGACATTAATTTACTTTCTGCTTGAAACCCTACAATAACATATCGGTTCTTTTAAAAATTATTACATGTGTTATAACGGTCCACGAAAACGATTTGTTTTGTGGTACAGACGGATTGACACGACTTGGGGCGACCGGTTGCCTGGGACCACTCGTGTAGATTTCAGAATCCCTCTAGTGCAAAGTTAACTGGTTGGTCCGCGTTTGTGGTGAGTCGACAGTCCGGCATTGCGCAGGGACGTTGTCTACCGGTGACTCGCGTTCCGTCGCGAGCGTCTCGTAATGAAGCAGTGGGCGTTCGATGGGTCTAGCTCTTCGCTTCGTAAACTATTCTCCAAGACGGCTAGCATATCACTTTTCCTTGTGGGTCCATTTAGCTGCCTATAGGCGCAATAATTCCCGAGGGATAATTTGAAATAGTGCTTTACCATACATAGTGAAAGTTTCTTACCGTATTTTGCAAAAATGAACAAAAAATAAATAAATAAATAAAAACGCAAGCATTTGTTTGTTTCTGTTATTCGGAAATACGATATCGACAATCGCGAGAATACGCGCTATGTGTTCGCGTATGAACGTCAACAATGTCGGCCATTTGTATTATTAATGTTATTGCTGTGATATTGTTGTAGTATAGCACTATGACAATGAATTGTACGTGGGAAAGAAAATATTACGCTAATAATTGTAAACTTTATGATAGCGAAGGCCACAATTAATAACACAAACGGTTTTATGGGATCCGGTTGTTAAATGCTATGTCAAACGCGTTGATATGGAGTGTATTGTGCACTACCTGTCGTTGCTATTTAATGTGTATCAGCAGCGGTGCCTCCTGCGCGCAATAAAGATTGGATGGCAAACAACTGGCTAATCTACTTGTTAATATTAAAAATAGTTAACGAAGTGGGATTTTACAATTGTTGCGCTATTGACAATATACTATAACCGGGTAGGGAATTCATTGCTGTCAACAGCGAACAGTGTGACTGAAATAACTCAAAGTACAGGGCGGCTAAGGAAACCTAGCTGTCTCTTATATGAAAAGATAAAGCAATAAAATAAAAATCAAGTCAGCCAATGGTTTTCTTACCTTAGTCACGTAAATCCGGTTTAATCCTTTGCCGGGGAGCCAGTTGACATGATCGTGTAACACGCGAGAAGACGACAAAGTTTTTTCTACAAGAACAAGGATGTGTCAGCCGTTTATTTTAGTCCATGTTTTAGTATTTACATATTATATATATATATATCACTATTACAGTTAGTTAGAATTTACTAACTTAAAAATTAAAAGAAAACTACTACAGTTATAGTAGAATAATATATAACAAAAGAAACGAAATGAAAATGAATTTGACGAAGACGTCGGCTCCGTTATCAAGGAGCGACGCAGAACCGTGTCAGGATATTCACACAGTTCCCAATTTCTATGGGTGTAATTTAAAGGCTTTTTGCTGTCTAAAACTCTAAGTAATTTTAATTTATCCTTTTCGGTCACTTTGACGATAGAAATATTCCAAACAACTTTTGTTAGTTTAATTGATACTGTAGACAATTTTTCTTTTGCTGCAACACTCGTGTCTAATAGCTTGACAACCTCAGAAGTTCCCGTACGGTATTTAAGTTCTTCAGAGGACTTGTTCGCATCGAACAATATGATTGCGTTAATGTCTGAAGAACTTCTCGTACATATTAATGATTGGGAACAGTTTAAGAGTATTTTTTTATAATCTTCGGCAAACCCTAGTATATGCGATAGCGAATAATCCCAGAAAAATATGTACAGTCGAAAAAGTTTTTATTATCTTCAATATAATGTCCCATGCTGAAATGTGTAGTTCGTTAATATCAGCGGTTCTATATGAGCAAGAGCCTTTCAAAGTAAATGAAACGCCCGGGTTGCGTACTTTTTGTATTTAAGTACTGTTTATTTCATAACGTATTTCAGAAAATAAATATGTGAGTTCATTATTAATAAATCTAGGACTGGACTTCATAACATCAGGTTTTTACACTTCACCTTCCAATTACAAATAACTGGCACTTGGTAAAGTGTAACTGTCTATGTTGCGAATTTCAAATCGTATTTCATCATTACCTAGCGCAGTCGAGCTGTACGGTAAAAATTATTGTACCCGTTGACTAATTATTTTAAACTGATAGACATAACTTTAAAAACGATAAATTACGTTTTCTAATAGGCTTATTCGTTTTTTCTTTTAGCGGAGATGCTTTTGCGGCTTTCTTTTTAGGTAAATATGATGTTGTCTTTGCTCTAGGTGACTATGAACTATGTATTGGCTGACGAACACTTGAATATATATTATTAAACTTAAGAGCCACGGTTCTATGTAAGAATGTGAAGGCAGAGAGTTAAAGTTTCCCCTCTCAAATCTACTATTTTACTAGATTGAGACCGTAATGTAACTTCAGCGTTGTTTACGGTGGTTGTGTTTAGTGAATAATAAACTAACGATTTAGACACTTCTATAATTTTGTATCCTACTGGGAAAGAAGGAAAAAATGCATGGATTGCTTTGCTTGATTGTCCATTATAATATGAACTGGTCGTTATATTACACTCGACATATATAGTATAAACTTGTAAAATATCAACAATGTTTATTGAATCATGACGTATATTCGGCCTACCGACTTGTTCATTAAAACCTAATAACTGCGCCATATTATCGGTTACCGTAAAATCAATGGCGTTCCTACAGGTCAAAGCACTTTTCAATGAAACTTCGTCTGGTTCTAAAGAAAACGATTGAACGTATGGTTCCAAAAGATTTCTTAATATGGTTTTAACTGTGGCAATTCATATGATCCTGTCAGTATTGTAATTTCCGTTGTTACACCCTCAGAGTCTTGAACTCCGATTTAATTACAGTCAGTTATAATATTAGGTATTGAGTTATTAGTATACAAACTCAAAAGACAAATTTTGACATCCTCTTCAAATTCCAGAGGTGGGTAAAAATTACAACTCAATCGTCACAAATTACCGCTCAAAATTATTGTAGCCGTTTTCATAATTTCTGACTAATAAATTTTAAGCACAAATGACCACAGTTTACCGATCTATCAGCTTGATACCGGAAATAATTGTAATTTACGGTACATCCGTTAAAATATTTCTGTAACTCTAGCGGTGGAGCTAAATCACAGTAACTATCGAAATAATGTCTTTATTGTTATTTTTTCTATAACACGTCCAATGAGTACCTGGTTCGTTTTATTTGTTTAAATTAATAACTGCACTCTCGTTTTTTAAAGGATGTACTGGTAATGTGTCTCTGCCAAAAAGCCCTCTAAAATGAGGTATTTTCAATAAATTTGCATATTTTATAATTTGATAGTTATGTAGAGCAGTCTTTGGTAGATTCAATATTAGTTTTTTGTCTTGGGCGATGATAAAAATAAACTGGCAACGTTCTTATAAGATTTAAGGTATATACCTTTGCCGAGTTTTACTGTAGATTTTTTATCGCTTGCTTCTCTCGCATCTATGATTGTACATATAATACTACTCGCCACACCGGCTAAAGATCCTAACGCCGATAAAGCAGCGAAAATAGGAATATGAGGTAGCGCTACACTGGATTTTGGCACTGGTGTTACATGTGGTGTAGGGGAAATGCTACCACGACGAGCTTTTTAGCGAACAGCGATTAACGAAATTTTTATTAATTTTATAATATCTTTGCCGGTTATCTTTTTATGTTTCTTAATAGCCTTTTCGCTTCGAAAACTATAGTGTAAAACCACATTCCATGTTGATTTTACGTTTTGCTTTCATGGCATTGGTTACTAGGTATGCTGCGGTCCGTTCTTTAAATCTAGAGTCCTTTGATTTAACAATGTCCCAAGCCCCGTGTTAAGGTTTTTTTAACCGAGTGCCGGAGCCACAGTAATTATAACCTTTGATATGTAATTCTACAGGCAATTTATCTAAGAGCGCATTGAATAGACCGACATTACTTTTAAACTTGTTGCTACCGTGACGAGACATCGTTTGATCAGTTTACTGTCCTGATAAACTATTTATAGTGGAAAACATGAAATTTATGCAGCAAAGTGTTAAACTTCCCGTGATAAATATACGAGATCCCGTATCTCGTAGATCCCGAAAATAATCACAATAAATCTCATCGACGCAGTACTTTATTTCCAAACTCTATTAGAGCGATTATTGTGGGACCGTCGAATTTCGGTAAAACAAATGTTTTATTATCTTTATTAGTCGCTGAAATCGGTGTAAAATTAAAAAATATTTACATTTATTCAAAAACTCTAGCCAGCCAAAATTTCAAATGCTAAGAAAATTATAGAAAGTATACCTAGAATGCAAATATTTATGTTTCATAACAACGACAATTTAATTAGCCCTGAAAACGCATTACCAAATTCAATTTTTATATTCGATGACTTAATAACCGAATCTCAAGAAAGTATAAGAACCTATTTTACTCGAGGCAGACATAATAACATTGACATATTTTATTTAACAAAATCGTTTAGCTATGTAAGTAAACAATTGATTAGGGATAACGCTAATATGTTTATTCTATTCAAACAAGATAAAACAATATACGGCATTAATATTTTAATAATTGTTCTGAGGACATGACACTTAACTAGTTTCGTGAATTTTGTCATTCATGTCGGAACGATAGTAAATTTATTTTTTAGTCATCAGTAAAGATCGTCCGCGAAATGAAGGCAGGTATTATAAATGTTTCGATACTTTCGCAATAATATAATATCGTATAATAATGGGATTTTGTCAGTAGTCGATTAACAATGGACGGAGAATCTAATAACGAAATATTAAGACAATTAGCTGAGGCCAAGCAAAATACTAAACGAAAATTCCAATCATTGTAAAACGATGGTGTTGCTAATGAGATTTACATTAAGCGTATATTAAAACCAATTATTGGACCTTTAAACGAGCTGACAACACTTCAAAAAGAGAAAGCATTGCATATTATAAATTTTACTAATAAATTTGATAACAATAACAAGTATTTAAAATATGAACAAAACCATGACGTCTATGACGATAACAATTATAAAAGCAATGAAAATAATTCTACGGTAACACAACTATATAATCAAAGCTATAATGTTGAAGACAATAATTCTAGTGGATATTCTAAAAACCAGATATTTTCTATGATGGACTCGGTTGAGGCTTGGCTAGCTTTTCTTGATTGGGACAAAGCGTATGCACCGAAAAAACACGGGGATTTAATAAAATTTGGTGATAAAATTATACATTTTAATTATAAAACAGCTCAGCCAATCATATAATATAATAAATATCAATTATCTTTTGGTCTAATACAGTAAATATTTTCAAAACGACCTAACACATACGATAAAAATGACTTGGATGTCTATAGAGACATTCTAATTCAAACTTCTGCGCACTAAATGAATAAATTAAAAATTAAGAAAACAAATGGCTGCAAGTATAAAGAAGTTATAAGTAAATTGTTTGTCGAAGGCAGAGGTTTTGAGTTGTTATTGAACATATCGAATAACTATAAATATTGGAATAATACAGACGAGCTTTACGACCGTCTTAGATTACTATTGTCTTCGCAAGCAGCAGACAATAATGCACATAATAATTAAATTATAACAATTTATGATGAATTATACGAGGTGGGAATAATAAAAAAAATACCAAATGTTTAAAAGACAAATTGTGAAAGAACTACATAGATCTAGACACGTACATTACGAAGATATACGAAGTGTTGTACTTAAAGAACGTGACGATGTATTTCAGATCGATTTAGCCAAATTTATACCATATCATAATCAGAATGAAGGCTATAAATATATTCTGTTTTTAATTGACTGTTTTACAAAATATTCATGGGCAGTACCCCTAAAATCAAAAACAGGTGCTGATATAGTAAAAGCAATAACCTATACTGGCAAAACGAAATTTTGTTCACGTACAGAGTGATTTGAGGAAAGAAATCTATAATTCAAAATTTTCAACTTTTTGAAAGGTTACAAACATCATAAAAAAAATCAAATGAGTTGGCCACAACGGATAAAATCCGCAACTTTTCATGGCGCATTGAAAAATATAAAAGAGGATCGCCAACCCACTGGTCAAGATGTATTATCAGACCACAGTAGGAATTTAAAAATA